GCAGGCCCCACAGTTGCCCACTGAAGTATCTGGGGCCTGGGGCCAGGCCACCATATCCGCAACCCCCAAAGGCTCCGTAGCCCCCAGAAAGCCCATAGCCCCCATAGCCTCCAAGGCCTCCATACACCCCATAGCCCCCATAGCCTCCAAAACCGCCACGGCCTCCAAAAGTGCCGCCATAGCCCCCTCCAACACCAGGGAATCCCGCCGAGCCAACAATGCTGTACTGCGGGAAGGAGCTGAGGATGGGCCCGGGGAAGGTGACCACCGAGGCCGGGGGCTGGATCACCACCGTGGAGTCGGGGCACTGCCGCACGCAGGGCTCGTTGGTGCTGTCAGCCAGTGGGGCCGGGGTGGCCACCCCACAGGAAGGGACGCACAGGCTGGAGCAGGACATCCTTCAGTTCAGGAGGTGAAGCTGCAAGACAAGGCAGAGCTCTGGCTCAGTGCAAGGCCTGATCCCAAATCCCTCCTGGCTCTCTTGCACTTGGAACCTGTGTCCCAGGACATGCTCTGGATGACCTCAGGCAGTCAGAGCAAAAACACGTTCCAGAGTTGAAATGCTGGTTTAGACCCCTTGCTCCCCTCGTGCTCCCTGGTTCTTACTCGCCCATGGGAGTGAGGAAAAACTCCCTCATCCAAAGCAGATGGAAAATCACCGAGCTCCCAAAGGGCTTGAGTCCATTGGTAAACTCAGGGCATTGTACCTACAAGTTTAATTTTCCATCCTTTCCATAGCTCTGAAACAGTCCCATCACATCCTAACTGTGCGCTACGAAAGAGTGGTGGAGCCCAGAGCAAAAGATACCTTGAGAAAGCCACGGCTGAGGAAGGAAAGATGGACGTAAGGCTTGGACTTACCACTGCGATCGAGAGAGTCAAGTGGAGGAAGCTGGATAAAGGGCTGCAAAGCCCTCAGCTCTTTTATACATGTCCCAGACTGCCCGGGGCTTCAGCCTAGGGGAGGTGGCAGAAGCCCCAGCTAATCATGAAATCAAGCAGACAAGCCTCATGAAACAATTTGTGATGTGGGGCAATTATATCCATCCTAATGGGGTATACCAGTGAGCAAACATGCCCTGGAAAGCAAGCAGGTAATGGGAGGGACAGACCACGACATGCCATTACATGAAAGAGAAGGTGCTGCTGTAGCTGACCACACAACACCAATAAACCTGATTCTGTCCCCAGTCCTCCCACTTTGCTTATGTGCAAGAGTCTTGGGCATCTTGCAGAAGTGCTTTGCAATCCTGCACACAGCCATCACGCCTGTCATTACCTCTGTTTTACAGGCTGGTAAACAGAGGCGCCAGGAGGTTCGGCAAAGGAAGAAGCTATCCCAGCAACTCAGGGCAGCTCCCTAATGCCAACTGTGACCACATGCTGGCAAGGACTGGGGAGAGCGCAGTCCCAGGTGCAAGGGGCATCCCTAAGCATTGGACATTTACCTGCCACTGCATGGCTAGTTGATTTTTAGCTCCCGAATTCACTTGATGGTCATGCAAAGAGCAGAGGAGAAGGGTCCCGTGTTGGATGGAGCTCCACCTATGAACAGTGCTGGCACAGATGTGGGTGGGAGAACAGTGGGCTCAGGCACTGGGGACCTGTGAGAGGGGACATGTTCGTGGAGGAACAGGAGGGCAGGAACAGGACCAAGAGACCATCAGCTCCTTCAGCCTCATGTCTGTGAGCATGGTCCTGCCCAAGCCCTCTCTGGAGGGACTCGATTACCCAGCTGGGCATTGAGGGCTGTGCCAGGACAGGCTGGCCAAGCACCCACAGAGAGCGCGGCTGCACGTGCCCACGCTCCCCATGGGCACAGGCATGCTGGGCAGTGCTGGCTCTGAGTGCGTGGCTGGACTGCTGCTGAGCACGGCGTGGTTGGGCACAGCAATCTTCTGCGAGATGCTCAGGATTCTTCCATGTAAGCAGAGTGAGGGATTAGGGACAGATCAGGGTTTATTGGTGCCGCACGTTCAGCTACAGCAGCACCTTGTCTTTCATGCAATGATGTGTCATGGTCTGTCCCTCCCATCAGCTCTTTCTTCTCCAGGGCACATTTGCACGCCAGTGTCCCCAGTGAGGAGGCATATAATCATCTCGCATCGCTATCTGTGTCATGAAGCTTGTCTGCTTGATTTCATAATTAACTGGGGTTTTTGCAACCGCCCCCTTGGTCAATGCCCCGGGCAGTCTGGGACATGTATAAAAGAGCGGAGGGCTTTGCAGCCCTTTATCCAGCTTCCTCCACTTGACTCTCCTGATCGCGGTGGTAAGTCCAAGCCTTACGTCCATCTTTCCTTCCTCAGCCGTGGCTTTCTCAAGGTATCTTTTGCTCTGGGCTCCACCACTCTTTCGTAGTGCACAGTTAGGATGTGATGGGACTGTTTCAGAGCTATGGAAAGGATGGAAAATTAAACTTGTAGGTACAATGCCCTGAGTTTACCAATGGACTCAAGTCCTTTGGGAGCTCGGTGATTTTCCATCTGCTTTGGATGAGGGAGTTTTTCCTCACTCCCATGGGCGAGTAAGAACCAGGGAGCACGAGGGGAGCAAGGGGTCTAAACCAGCATTTCAACTCTGGAACGTGTTTTTGCTCTGACTGCCTGAGGTCATCCAGAGCATGTCCTGGGACACAGGTTCCAAGTGCAAGAGAGCCAGGAGGGATTTGGGATCAGGCCTTGCACTGAGCCAGAGCTCTGCCTTGTCTTGCAGCTTCACCTCCTGAACTGAAGGATGTCCTGCTCCAGCCTGTGCGTCCCTTCCTGTGGGGTGGCCACCCCGGCCCCACTGGCTGACAGCACCAACGAGCCCTGCGTGCGGCAGTGCCCCGACTCCACGGTGGTGATCCAGCCCCCGGCCTCGGTGGTCACCTTCCCCGGGCCCATCCTCAGCTCCTTCCCGCAGTACAGCATTGTTGGCTCGGC